GATCTATTATTTCATAATATGTATAAAATATAAAAAATTAATATTTACCAATCAAAATTTTAAAAAATTAGAAAGAAAAACGCCCAATTACATAATGAAAGGATTGTGAGAAATAACCAAAATAGTTTTATTTTTACTTCAAAAATAGATTATTTTAGTCTTTTTTTTAAGAAAATCTAGTGAAACAACTTATTTTTTGAGTGTTTTTTCACTTTTTTTTTTAAATCGACTCATAATTGCTTTTGTCAAAAATAAAAACTAATTAATTTCTTCATCTTCTATAGTGACGTGCCATTTTCTTTTAATTTTTAATAATAAAATCAATATTATAATGACTTTATAATTTTTTAAGGTAATATAATTTTGAATAATTAGTAAATTAATTAAGGTGATCAACTTAATTAATTGGATTTAACAAAAAATTTATTTTTTATATTGTTTTAACAAAGAATTTAATGAACTCTACTAAAAAGGAATTTAGTAAATTGATTTTAGCAATTTATGTTTAATCTATTTAATGATTTATTTGAAAAAAAATTGAATTGTTCGGTAACTTGATTGAAAACATTGAGGAACTGGATTATTGGATGGGAGGAGCAGAAGTTTTAAACTCCCCTATCCGAAAAGAAAAAGAAAAAAACCTTTGAGGCCCTTAAACCGTCAAAAAAATAAAAAAGATTCTAATAAAGTAATAAGGAAAATTAAGATCTCTTAATAATTAAAAATAAAACCAATAATGTACTGCATCTGGCCCTTGGGACCAAATGGTCTCTGACCACATGATGCATTCTCTCACCCTCGAGCAGGGTTCTACCCGTCCCATGTACTCTTGTTCAAAAAAAAAAAAAAAAAGCCAATAATGTACTTGACTCTCATGATCTAATGGTTTTATACCTATCATAAGTTATATTTCTCACTTGGGATTTGAATCTTCTATCCCTAAATTATAAATTGTTCAAAAAAAAAAATTAACAATAATAATAAAATGATTTAAATATTTTTATTAATAAATTAGTATATAAAAAATTTATTAAAAATATTTAAATAATTTCATAAATAATTTTAATATTTAAATGTACATTTTTTTATCTCAATCTTCGATCATAGTTATAGTTATGACCTATAATTTTTTTTATTAAAACTACTAGAATTATATTATAAAAATATTACTTTAATTTAATTTAATTATTAAAAATAATTATCAACTAATATTTATTATTCAATAAATTAAAATTAATTTATAAATTAATATTTTTACATATCTTAACTATTTATTTAATAAAAAAATTGTAGATACCAGTCAAATATAATTTTGTTGAGGCAGTTGTGCTCAGAGCCACTAAGCTTCAACAATGCCTTGATTAATACAGAAATCTATGCCCATAATCTGACGGTCAGAGAAGTGTGTTCCACTGCATTACGGTACAGAGAAGCACACTGCGCGGAGGCATCCATGAGAGAAACAGAGGCCCCAAGATTTGTCCGTTAAAGAGAGAGGGAAAGAGAAGACTGAGTTCGCAGCCACAAAATGGCGCGAAACCAAAGGGGAGATCTCCGAACTCCATGGCCCGGCGGAAGAATGTCACACTCTCAATACCATCCCATACTAACGTTCACTTGCAAACCCACAAAAAAAGCTCACCCCTTTTTCCTCTTTCTCTTTTTCTTTCTACTTCCACAGATATTGGCATTTTCTTTTTGGGAAACTGGATCATACATCTGTTGTGGGTTTTCAACCTTTGGCTCTATTGTGATCATTTGGGAACTGGGTTGGTTTCTTTTACCCACTTGGTTCAGATTTTATGGGGTTTCTGAGTGATTTCCCCTTTAAGTCTTTTTGGGACTTTTGATCATTAAGCCTGATGGGTCATTTTCCTTGTGGTCAGGGAGGAACAGATTTTAGGTGGAAAGTTAAATGTTGAAGGCATGATGAAATTGAAATGTTAACATCTATGGAGGTAGCTGGTATACATGATCATGAAGGAAGAAATTATGCATAGCTGAGCCTTGGATTGAAGGCAAAAAATGGTAATGCAAACTTTGGGCAATCTGTTCTCATTCTTTTTTATATATTTTGGCGTAGCTTATGCTGTTGAATCTTATTTTTAATCTTATGCGTATTTCAATAAGAATGTCTGTAAGTTTTTCAGTACAATTCATTAAATTTTAGATGGGCAGACACAGATTATGCTCAGAATTTGTTTTCTGTGGAAAATGATGGAACTTAGTGTACAAGAGTTGGCTCTTTTCGCAGCAAAACATTCCCTTCTCTTCAGCTTTTCTTCTCTCTCTCTCTCTCTCTCTTGTTTTTGTTTTCCTGAAAGTGATAGCTAAGTAAAATCAAGTTAGAATTTAATAGATCAAAATGTTTAAATGAATGGTTTTGTGTCATTTGAGAGAAATTAGGATTTTCCTATAGAAGCCAAAGAAATAGAAGAGGAAAATCTAGAGAGCTTCCTGTGCATAGGATTACGTTGGATTCCTTAGCAAACGTTTGAAATGCTATTAGATTAAGCATGTGATGACTAAACTGAGGAATACGTGATTTTGATTGTGGGGAGAAAAAAGGTGAAATATCTTCCAGTGGAAACATACATGGGTTCTTGATGCTTTGATTCAAAAGAAAAAGTGTATCAATGAATTAACATACATTTGACTTACCGAAAGTTGGATTTGACCTCAAGGCCAGGGAAAGGATGTAAGAACCATGAGCTTTTTTCTTTTTCAAGAATGGTCAAATTTCATTCAAGAGCAATTTCAAATTCAATTTCAACAAAAAAGATTATGATAATTTACCTTTGCACAGGTTTCTGCTAGTTATAGATGCTCGAATTAAAACTTATGTGCAATTATGAAGCCAACTAACCCTGATGCATAAATATTAATGGAATATTTCCTCATGCACAGTATTCTTTTCCTATCTATGTTGCAGGGAACTCCTGTTAATATTATTGTAGGTTCACATGTTTGGGTGGAAGACCCAGAAGTAGCCTGGATTGATGGACAGGTTATAAAAATCAATGGAAAAGAAGTTGAGGTTGAGACTAGTGATAGGAAGAAGGTCTGTCAACTGACTTAATTCTACTTTCCCTTAATCTTTTTGTTGATTTCTATTTTAGTGACCTTTTGATTAACAAAAAAAAAAAAAAAAAATTAGTGACTTTGATTCAGATCATTTTAATTCCACTGTACTCACAAATCAGACTTTATTGAAAAATTCATTCAAAACCGTGAGGCTGACATATGTAATTCTAGTTTTTAATAATGTAATACTCCGATCAACTTTTAGTGTTCTTATGCTGTATGTCCCCATAATTCTGTAGTATTGAGAACACATTACAGTTCAGGTTTATCTTTTTCATGTATGAATACATTTTGCTATTCCATAATAGGAACTAAAAATAATTCTGAAATTGACAAGATACATAAATTGAAGCAAATTCTTTTTAGCCCTAATTTTTTAGGGGTAACCTGAGATTAGTTTTTCTGATTTATAACTTTAAGGTTGTTGCACAACTATCAAGAATATATCCAAAAGATACAGAAGCTCCTGCCGGAGGAGTTGATGACATGACAAAGCTATCTTATCTGCATGAGCCTGGAGTTTTGCAGAATCTGAAAAGCAGATACGAACTAAATGAAATCTATGTAAGCTTTTCTTCATTATCATATTATCTCATTCTAAGATATTCTTGCTTTCTTTTACCATCACCATTGCATATATACTAATGTTAAAACATGATGCCATGGCAGACTTATACTGGAAATATTCTCATCGCCATCAATCCATTTCAAAGACTGCCTCATATTTATGATTCTCACATGATGCAACAATATAAGGGAGCACCTTTTGGAGAACTAAGTCCTCATGTTTTTGCCGTTGCTGACGTTGCATACAGGTTATTCCCTATTCTTTGTGACGATGTACAATTTTTCATTAATTATGTACCTAATATTTAAAGAAATTCTTTAAATTTTATAAGGGCAATGATTAATGAAGGGAAAAGCAATTCAATTCTGGTCAGTGGTGAAAGTGGAGCAGGTAAAACTGAGACCACAAAAATGCTCATGCGATACCTTGCCTACTTAGGTGGACGGGTTGCCACTGAAGGACGAACAGTAGAACAACAAGTTCTTGAGGTATGCTTGTTATCTTAGTTCTTATTTCAGGAGTTTGATTAAGTTTATCTCTCTCTCTCTCCAATCATCATCTATGAATTATGTCCCTATAATTATTACATGGTCTCTGATAAAGCCTTTGTACTATCTGAATGCAGTCTAATCCAGTCCTTGAAGCATTTGGTAATGCTAAAACTGTTAGAAACAACAATTCTAGGTGAGACACTTACCTTTTATGTAGCAGTAGGATATTCATTCTCTTCTCCTTTAAATCCAACTAATGTTCTAACTTTTGACAAACGTTCTGAGTTATGAACCTCTCTTATTGACTGAAAATGCTAGCAAGTCCATGCTAGTTATTTTATTCTTTCTTAGTAATAAAGGAATTATTTTTCTGGCATGAATCATGTTATTTTTCTGTACATGCATCAAACCCGTTATTCTCTTTGTGGTTTGAGCTTAATTTTCTTAATATTAATACTGGTGCAGCCGTTTTGGTAAATTTGTTGAGATCCAGTTTGATAAGCATGGAAGAATCTCAGGAGCTGCCATCAGAACTTACCTTCTAGAACGATCTCGTGTTTGCCAAGTTTCCGACCCAGAACGCAACTATCACTGTTTTTATCTTCTTTGTGCTGCACCTCAGGAGGTATTTTCTTTCTGGATTTACATCTATAATTGAGATGCTTCCATTATGACCGTATTTATTTTACTGTAATTTCTTGCTAAACTACTTATGATAACAGGAAATTGAGAAGTACAAGTTGGGACACCCTAAAACATTTCACTATCTCAATCAGTCAAATTGCTACGAACTGGTTGGTGTAAGTGATGCCCATGATTACCTAGCCACAAGGAGAGCCATGGATATTGTTGGAATTAGTGAAAAGGATCAGGTGTAGCTTTTGTGACTGCAAGATTAAATTGCTTTATGTTATAAAGACAGAAATGACGATCATTTCTCTATCTCTCTCAGGAAGCAATTTTCAGAGTTGTTGCTTCAATCCTTCATATTGGCAATATTGTTTTTACTAAGGGGAAGGAAGTTGATTCATCAATTCCAAAAGATGACAAGGCCAAGTTCCATCTTCAGACAACAGCAGAGCTTCTCATGTAGGTGCTTTAAATTGACCTGCATGATCATTTTTTGCTATCAATATTTCATCTTTTGGTAGTTACTAAATTTCTACTTTGTTTCAGGTGTGATGCTAAGGCCTTGGAAGATGCATTATGTAAACGTGTCATGATCACACCTGAAGAAGTCATAAAGCGAAGTCTTGATCCTCAAAGTGCAGCAATTAGCAGAGATGGTTTAGCTAAGACAATTTATTCAAGGTTGTTTGACTGGTAAGAGACTAGTGTGCGTACTGTTTATCATGATTGACTGATTTGTATATGGGATCTAATGTCCTGACATGGTGTTGTATTTACCATGGTGAATACAGGTTGGTGGACAAAATTAACAGTTCAATTGGACAAGATCCTAACTCAAAGTCTTTGATTGGGGTCCTTGATATCTATGGTTTTGAAAGCTTTAAGACTAACAGGTGCATCCATTATTTGAAGGAATTTATACCCGTATAAGTAAATGGCTTCCTTCTTTGAAGATTTTGTGAGAGCTACCTACTATTTGTTAACCAATTTTTTAACTTAATTCTACCATATTAATCTCTGCAGTTTTGAGCAGTTCTGTATTAATTTCACAAATGAGAAGCTACAACAGCATTTCAATCAGGTAAGTCTCAAAATCATGTTGACTACTTGATATATGTTCAGTCAATGACCTTTATTTTAAGACTTTCTGTCACTTTTCTCCAGCATGTGTTCAAGATGGAGCAAGAAGAGTACACAAAGGAGCAGATTGATTGGAGTTACATTGAATTTGTGGATAATCAAGATGTGTTGGATCTCATTGAAAAGGTGATTCCTGGAAAATAATTGAAACCTTTATTCCTTATTCCAAACCTCATATCATATAATACTAAATGAAAATCAGAAACTAGCATCTTAGCAATGAAATTACCGCATTGCTAAGAAGACGAGTAGAAAATATACAATTTTTATCATGTGAATGATTTGTTTGTTGGATTGACTATAGGGTGCTATTATGGTATTTGTATGTGGTGCACTACTCATAGAGCTTAAAACTTGATAGGATATTTTGACTCCTACCTAATCATTTTGGAAGGAAGGGGTACTGGTTCAATAATTGACTCAAGATTATAATTCAATAATTGACTCAAGATTATGTTACTCCTTCGTTTTTGTAGAAATTAAACTCAACTAAGCCCAAAATGGAATAAATAGGACTGACTATGGGAGGTTGTGTTCAAGTATCATTCTTTCTTTCATTTAAGTATTTTTGTTTATTTTACTTAACTATAGTTGCCTTTTTTTTTCCTTTTGCAGAAACCTGGAGGAATCATTGCTCTGCTAGATGAAGCTTGGTAATATTTTTTTATTTTCATAATTTTTAAGAAATTTATGGTACTCCTTCCCAGTGAAACATATTTGCAGGATTCATTGCTAAGCTTAGGAGCCCCTTTTCTTTTTTTATGGATGGAGAATCTCAGTTTGCCTTGTTATAACTCTGCCTTCTTTCCTTTCAGCATGTTCCCAAAGTCAACTCATGAGACATTTGCCAACAAGCTTTATCAGACATTTAAGGTTCACAAGCGCTTCATCAAGCCAAAATTGTCTCGAACAGATTTCACCATTTCTCATTATGCTGGGGAAGTATGTTTCTTAACCATAGTGGTTACGGGTGTTTAGTATGGGATGCAATATTTATCCTCACAATACTTATTTCAGGTCTTGTATCAATCTGATCAATTTTTGGATAAAAACAAAGACTATGTGGTTCCTGAACACCAAGATTTGTTGAGTGCTTCTAAATGTTCATTTGTGGCAGGGCTTTTCCCTCCACTTCCAGAAGAGACATCCAAATCATCAAAGTTTTCTTCAATAGGCTCTCGTTTTAAGGTAGTTCTCTTCAAGCTATCAACGTTATTTGTACAGTTGTAATAGTGTTTATAGTTCATCTTTTATGCTGCCCTATATCACTTTGCATGACCAGCAGTACCTTCTCTTCTGCATGAAATTGAGCTAACAGTCTCTTGATAAATGATGCAGCTGCAATTACAATCCTTAATGGAGACATTAAATTCTACAGAACCTCACTACATCAGATGTGTAAAGCCAAATAACCTATTAAAGCCTGCTATATTTGAAAATGTCAACATCATGCAACAATTGCGCTGTGGTGTGAGTAAATTTTACCTACTCATTATTCATTTTAAATTGGAACTGTTTTTTCAAAAGTTTCCAATCTTGTTAGTTTTGAATTACTTGAATTTCTCTAATAGTTGTTTCTGTAGGGTGTTTTAGAGGCAATCAGAATTAGTTGTGCTGGATATCCTACGCGTCGTGCTTTCTTTGAATTCATCAATCGCTTTGGGCTTCTTGCACCGGAAGGTTTGGAGGGAAAGTGAGTAACCTCTTTAGCTTGAATTTCTATGGGTGAAAAATCATACCCTGTTTGATTGTACATGTGCTTGGATGGTTTGAATATGAAGTCACACTTTGCTTGTTATGCTTACATTAATGTGCATGCTTTTCATACCTGAATTTGTTCCATGAGCAGCTATGACGAAAAGACGGCCTGCAAAAAGATTTTAGAAAAGATGGGACTTAAAGGATTTCAGGTAACATGACAAATTCCATCCTACTTTTGAGAACTGCATAAAAAAGTGGGAGTCTGCATATTCAATTATACATTGTGGTAGGAGGAATCTTTTTCATTGACCTCAAAAATTGTTTTGCAGATAGGTAAAACCAAAGTATTCTTAAGAGCTGGTCAAATGGCAGAATTAGATGCACGGAGAGCAGAGGTGCTCAGTAATGCCGCCAAAATTATTCAGCGCCGAATCCGTACTCATTATGCTCGAAAACAGTTTATTGCATTGCGGAAGGCTGCTGTTCATGTGCAGGCTCTCTGTAGAGGTGAGAATGTGAAAGATCTAGCAGCATAAGGTTTATAACTATTGTGCTCGTATGCTTAGATGATATTGTTTCCTTGAGTTATTTTCACATACTCATGTGTCACTTGTAGGAAGATTGGCTTGCAAACTTTTTGAGAATATGAGACGAGAGGATGCTGCTATAAAGATTCAGAAGCATGGACGAAGATACCAAGCCAGAAAGGCCTATAACAAACTCCACTTATCTGCACTTGTCATACAGACAGGTTTAAGGGCAATGGCTGCACGTAAGGAATTCAGATTCAGGAAGCGAACTAAAGCTTCCATCATCATTCAGGTTACATTCTTAATCACAATAAATTTCTTGAAAACTTTTTACTCCTAGCTATTCTGACACTAATCCTTGTCTTAAATTTGGTTTTTTAAAAAATGCAGGCTCGATGGCGTTGCCATAAAGCGGCCAAATACTATAAGAAGCTCAAGAGAGGGTGTATATTGTCACAAACCAGGTGGAGGGGAAGAATTGCGAAAAAGGAGCTTAGAAAACTCAAAATGGTCAGTGTTAGATGATGTTGCTTTATATAATGCCTGCGAAATAAAATTGCATGTAGACTGCAGAGTGTTAATCATTATTTATAAATAAAGGGCTTGAATACTGTCCTGATAAAATGGTATAAGGTAACATTGAGGTATTGCCTTTCAATGTTTGCCTAAGTTAGTGAATAATATGTCCTACTGACAATAATATCTGGAACTGGCCACTTTAATAGACTCATGCTTCAGGTGAAACAACTAGCATTATTCCTTTAGTATGGATCTGAAAGGTGAAAGTTTGTAAACTAGGGCATTTGAAGCATTTGAAATTACTTTGGTACAATCTTTGGGTGCTTGTATGCTTCAGCTTGTTTAAATTATTTACATTATGGTTAATAATCAATATCTTGGGTTCTGAAAAGAAGAGTATACTTTTTACATATCTACCCATTATATTAAATCTCTGACGTTGGGAAACTGCTTGTGGAAGCATGTCTTTTAGTTTTTAACAGGCTAAAGAAATATCTTCTTTCTGACTTTTTCTTCATGTTGATCATTGAAATGCTTCTCTAGAAAAATCAGTTCTTTGACAAATGGACAGATGTATATTTGTGTTCTGATTTATGATAGCAGGATTTAATCAGTGTAAAAACAAAACAAAATTGATGGCATTTAATACCAATTAGTGGATTTAATGTTGTTCCTTTCCTGGAAATATCCAAAAACTCCTTTAGATTTATTCTTTAGTTGTAATTTGATTTGCAGGCTGCAAGGGAAACAGGTGCACTAAAAGAAGCAAAGGATAAGCTTGAAAAGAAAGTGGAGGAACTCACATGGCGTTTGCAATTGGAAAAGCGTTTGAGGGTAATATAATATTCTATGCTCTTTGGATATTGTTTTGTAAATAGGAAATTGCCAAAACCTGAACCATGGCATTTCTTTGCAAGTTGATATTTAAGATCATGATGTAGTACAAGAAAGCAATTATCCTACCATTAATATAATGCAAACTCAACATGAACTACTGTTTGCTTTTAATCTTTGTATCAGTAGAACTTATAGATTCTCTAATATGTTGTCTCATGAACACATATTCATGAAAAGCTCTGAAACAATGTCTGCAGACTGACATGGAAGAAGCAAAAGCTCAGGAACTAGCAAAAATGCAGAATTCGTTACAAGAGATGCAGAGCAAAATTGATGAAGCAAATGCATTGCTTGTCAAAGAACGAGAGGCTGCAAAGAAAGCCATTGAAGAAGCACCTCCTGTTATCAAAGAGACACAGGTTTTAGTTGAAGATACTAAACAAGTTGAATCTCTAACAGCAGAAGTGGGGAGCCTACAGGTATACATGTCATTCAACAACAAATGCTTGCTTTCTTTGTTTGAATCAACAAGGGGATATCAAGCATTTATTTCCTACTATACAGCGTATCTTCTTCAATCATGTATCCTCAAAAATTACCATTTTGTTGAAAAAATGTATTCTTGTGCACTTTTCCTTAAAATGCTTTCTGTCCCATGGTGCCAAAAAGTACGCACTCTTGTTTTACCTATTGATTCACATCAAGTACGTGGAAAAGGAGTTTCCAAAGTATAAATCGGCACAGAAAATATGCCAGCTATTCTGATCTTTATGTTGTAAAGTGAGATGTGAATCAAACAACATTATTGGATTATGCCTTTAGCTGATCATTAACATCTTATATTGATCTGTCATTCTATTATAGGCCGCATTGGAATCGGAAAAACAAAGAGCCGATGATGCTGAAAGAAAATACTATGAAATACAAGAACTGAGTGAAGACAGACAAAAAAAACTAGAAGAAGCAGAGAAAAAGGTTCATCAACTCCAGGAATCCTTAAGCAGGTAGCTTATGAGGAATAATTTCCTTTACTATTTCCTTAGGATTTTTTTATTGGATGGGAGTAGATGGGATTTATACTGTTAAGTATTTATTCATATCTACAACAAACCAAGGATAAGTTATCATGATTTCATGTGGTTAACTGAACTGCCATATGATCAGGCTAGAAGAGAAGCTCACTAATATAGAATCAGAGAATCAAGTACTAAGGCAACAGGCTGTCTCCATCGCTCCCACTAAGTTCCTTTCAGGCCGCTCCAGATCAATTTTACAGGTATTCTGGCTGAAGAATTTTTGTATGAATAAGAATTTTAAACTTTTATGACCTCTATGATCTTGTTGATTTTCCATGCTGATTTATGCTTGGCAGAGGGGTTCTGAAAGTGGTCATCTAGAAGGAAGGGCTGGTATGGTAAGTAAAGAACTTACTAATTGAATTAATTATTACTAAAGACAAAGGAGTAAGAGAAAAAGTCAGTTTCACAGAACTCATATTTATTGGTTGTCTAACTTCTCTTATTGATAAATGTATTACAACAGGATCTGCACAGTCCCTCATTAATCCAAAGGGAACTTTCTGAAGTGGAAGGGAAACCACAAAAGTCATTAAATGAGAAACAACAGGAGAACCAGGAGTTGCTTATTCGATGTATTGTACAACACTTGGGCTTTGCTGGGAACAGACCTATCGCAGCTTGTATCATTTACAAATGCCTTTTGCAATGGAGATCATTTGAAGTTGAGCGTACCAGTGTTTTTGATCGAATCATTACAACCATAGGCCATGCTATTGAGGTTGAAATTCTAAAACTTTATTGACTATTATTTTCTGAAAGCTCTTACAGAGACTCTAACTTCTTGAACTTGAATGTTCTCTTTTGAATTGCAGACTCCAGACAACAATGATATTTTGGCCTATTGGCTATCAAATGCCTCAACCCTTCTCTTGCTACTCCAGCGCACATTGAAAGCCAGCGGTGCAGCTGGAATGACTCCACAACGTCGTCGATCATCATCAGCCACTCTGTTTGGCAGAATGACGCAAGTAAAATTTTGTTGCTAATATCAAGTAATGCTATTTGGGAACCTTCATTTCTTTAATTAATTTGTTCATTGCTCTTTCTTCCTCTATAGAGTTTCCGAGGGGCTCCACAAGGTGTCAATATTTCTTTAATCAATGGCAGCACCAATGGGGGAGTGGATTTACGACAAGTTGATGCCAAATATCCAGCTTTGCTTTTCAAGCAGCAGCTTACAGCATATGTAGAAAAGATTTATGGAATGATCAGAGATAATCTGAAGAAGGAAATTTCTCCATTGCTGGGATTATGCATCCAGGTATTTTATCTATTCAGATATGCACTTAGCGAAAGCAGTAGATAGGAAACAAAAAATGGAGAAACAAGAAATTCAATTTTCTTATTCTGTTTCTCATCCTTTATGATCAAATAGGCACCAAGAACATCCAGAGCAAGTTTAGTTAAGGGATCATCACGTTCAGTTGCTAACACCGCTGCACAGCAGACTTTGATTGCTCACTGGCAAGGAATTGTGAAGAGCCTTGGAAACTTCTTGAATACACTGAGAGCAAATTATGTCAGTTGGACATCTGTTGTTCATTTTTATTTTTCCTTAGTTCCACGTTTTTACTTGTGATTGAAAGTTGCATTCAAGACATCAAGAGGTCAACTTTATGAACTCACCATATAAGTAACCAAAATAATCAAATAAGCTCTCTTTAGACTATCTACACTCATATGTATTTAATTCCTTTCTAGGTACCTCCATTTTTGGTCCGTAAGGTGTTCATACAAATATTCTCCTTCATCAATGTTCAACTATTCAATAGGTATCAGTTATACTCCCTATTTTGGTTGTTTATGAGTAATTTTACACTGTAGGCAGTCATTTTTCTGACAGTAGTTGCATATGCTGTCTTCTGTTACAGCCTTTTGTTGAGAAGAGAGTGCTGTTCATTTAGTAATGGGGAATATGTTAAGGCTGGATTGGCTGAATTGGAACACTGGTGTTATAAAGCAACTGATGAGGTAATGACAGACTAACTTCCAGTTCCATTTTGTGAATTGTGGTTGCACTATTCATTCTTGCTTATACTTGAAAGGCATATATATGCAGTATGCTGGTTCAGCCTGGGATGAGCTCAAGCATATTAGGCAGGCTATTGGGTTTCTGGTATCATGCCATCCTTAATGTTATTTTCTTCTTGTTGCACTGTTACTTGTTATGATAACCAAGAAGAAAAGAGGAATCAATGGTAAACTAATCCTGAATTAAACCATTTCCGGATATAGGTAATTCATCAGAAACCAAAGAAAACTTTGGATGAAATAAGCCATGATCTCTGCCCAGTGAGTGACATGTACCTTAAATAATACATTATTTTCTATATTAGATCTTCTATGAGTCTTAACCATATTACTTGTCCATCTCCAGGTCCTAAGTATCCAGCAACTATATCGGATCAGTACAATGTACTGGGATGACAAGTATGGCACACACAGTGTGTCCCCAGAAGTAAGTGTTTATCATTGCCATTCCTCATACTTGGTTAGAGGCATTCTTGTTGCAAGAGAGTGATGAAATATTGTCATGTTACATGCTTTTTAGGGAAAAATAACCTGACCAAATTGACCTTTTTCACGTTTCCTTATCTAGGTAATAGCCAATATGAGAGTTTTGATGACAGAAGATTCAAACAATGCAGTTAGTAATTCCTTCTTGTTGGATGATGATTCAAGGTAAGTGATTATTCCGTGCTCAACCCTCAAAAGATCATGTTAGATGGTAGCTATTTGATGATCTTATTTACACTGTTTATAATTCTTGATGCTTGATGATAAAATGCAATGACTACTAAAACACAAAGTTTGAGATACCATTGGAGAAATTGACCTTCAATTAAAGGATACCAAAATCCAGATGCATTTTGTAATACTGACTTCTTATTTGTTGTTGCAGCATTCCATTCTCAGTTGATGACATATCAAAGTCAGTGGAACAAATAGACATCCCTGACATTGAACCACCACCGCTTATTCGTGAGAACTCAGGTTTTAGTTTCTTGTTGCCACGCTCAGATTAATAAGACATGATTGATGTACTTTATCTGCGTTGGTCTCTCTTTACTGTGAAGATGTATTTTCATCCTGCAACTTCTATTGTGGATGCCCACAAAGGATCACCTCTCCTTCATCTTGCCTCACATTAGAAATATTGGTTCATTCTTTTTAGCCTTTAAGGTTATTTTGATTCAAAGTAGGGTTTGATTTGTTCTCTACCCATTGTAGTTTTCAACTTCTAACTTCTATTGTACAAGCCTAAAAACCAGATGGTTAAGGAGAAAATGATGAAAAGCACAGCAATTTTCCATTAATTCTTGAATTATTTCCTTTTCCAATTCAATTCTCACTTTCCATAGACAACTGTTTTTTTTTTTTTTTTTTTCTAAAATTGTAAATCTTATGATTTGACAATAGAGGGCAGTCCTCTTCTATTTCCAAATCCCTTCTCACTTGTTTCAAAGTTCTTACCTGAGACATTCAACTTTGTGTCTCGTGCGATTGAGATGCCCAACAGGAGCAAATTGTTTTACTTTCTATGCTTGGGGATATTGACATTGCACTTTCATTGTTGGCGTATTTTCATCTGCAGAAACATTTCCCAGAAAAGGAAATTACATGCACTTGGGGGGAAGATTACTAGTTAGTCATTCTAGATGGTATCCCTTAGCATTATGATTTTTGGCAGTCCATCATACCTCAAACCCATAAAAACCATAAATCTGGAACCACTGCCACTAGGAAAAATTAACCCTCATGCTCTCGCTGTTGCTCCTGCTCTCACTACAAAATGGTCACCTAGATCTGAACTAGAAACAAGCCTCATTCTAGCTTTTATATGCTTTCTTATAGATTTGGTTTGGCATTTACATTAGGGCAGATGCCATTATAAAAACTAGCTGCTGAACAAATGATGAATCTATCCACGAGCAGCATAGATGGATGAAGATATTACAGAATAATGATTCTTATAGATTGTTTTGCAACTACGTTGGGGCAAATGCCATTATAAAAACTAGCTGCAGAACAAATGATGAATCTATCTACAAGCAGAGTAGATATATGAAGATTCAACAGAATACTTATCTTATAGATTGGTTTTGCAACTACATTAGGGCAAATGCCATTATGGAAAACCAGCTGCAAAACGAATGATGAATCTATCTACAGCAGCGTAGACAGATTAAGATATTACAGAAAGATGCACTCCACCTATGAAACCATCTAAACACCTAGGCATGTAGACTGAACAGTTATAATACAATACAACCCCTTTCATGCAAAGCATCGGAAAACTCACCCATCTCCTCCAAAGCATCAGAAAACTCACAGTTCGTTGATGCTCTTTTCGGCATGACACAGGCTAGACTGTGGCCAAGATGGTTTGAAATAAGGTACTACTTTGGAAAAATCCCATAAGATAGAAGACCCTTTCCCTTCATACTGAACAGCTTCCACTTTTTCATTCTCAAAGTCATAGCGAAAAATGTTTGATCCAGATCTAATGAAAACAGATTTGGAATTACAAGGTAGAAATGACAATATTCCATTTTCTTTTGAACGCGTGCTAAATGTATTTGTAACTGTTGGGTTCCGCTTCCACATTATTTTGAAATTCAACTTGTATCTCAAGTTCCACCTAATGTTGGTTTCTTTATTGGTTGAGAAAATGGATATGTAACCATCTTGCTCCTTTTCAAGAACCCAGATCTGCAGGCCTGAATTGCTGCTCCAACCATACTGCAGACAACCATCTGAAGATTCCCCAAGAACTTGCTCATCAAAATCAAATGGTCCAGGGAGTTTCATCAAACCAATACGCTTCTCTTCATGATCTGGGTCAAAAATAGCTATATTTCCCCGTGATGCATACCAGTGAATGACACCTCCAATCACAGTGGCCACAGTCCAAGGACACAATGATAAAGGTGAAGAACAAGTTAGTGTTGAATAGCACCATGTAGTGTTCTTTGATGAGTAAGTTTCGATGGTAACACGGCTGACTTCTTCAAGCCTACATTCACATTTAGCACGAATCACCTTGTAGCAGAGATTATCATCAGGACAGTTTTCAACAATGAATGCCATGCACAACTCCTCAAAGTACACCCGAGGGCGTGGTAGTTTATGTTCTTGCTTGGTAACAGGATCCCAAACAAAATAGGTTTTTGGATGGCGACCACAGAGAAGAATACCATTGCAAGAGTCAATAAAGTAACCAAAACGTTTGAGGATCCCAGAAAACTTCAGATCATCACCCTCTCTAGTGGTAGACAGTACGGGAAGAGCAGGTTCTGAGCGGGGACGGCGAATGCCACCTTGAGGTCTACCAAGGTACAAGGAATTGCACACAAAAAAACCCACTAGATAAGAACCCACTTTCCATTGGCCCATGTAACTGTGACGAAAAGAATGGCTGCAAATCAAGTGAAGCCACCTCTTTGATACAATAATTAACTTGGATATAGTATCTGGTGGAAGTCGGAGGAGGATATCACACAGGATATCATCACAACTCAATGCAGTCTGAATGCTATCACGCATCAGCTTTCCAGTCTTCATGGAACCAGTCACTGACAGAGACATGTACACCATATCAAAACATGCAGTATTAGCGATCATAATATTTTGTTCATTCAATCAATTAAAATGTGCAAGCAGACACACCATCAAGCTGAACCGCTAATCTGCTAAAGGCCTAAAACCAAATATAAAACAAAAATTCTCAACTCATTTAGGACAAATCACTTGCCTATGGTTTGAAAATGGGAGCACTCGATCATAGCTTTACAGTTCGCATCATCTTAGACTGTTGAGCATCATTCCTCCCAATCTTGCACCAGAAATGTGTTACAAATCATCCACCTACCAATCAATCATTTGTTCCATATCATCTCACTGCAAATGGCTCAGCACCTAATAAATCAATCAAGTACAATTTCACATTGGACAAGAGTTTTTGAACATTGACATTTACAATCTCCAGCAACAAATTCTATTAGATATCAAAATTAGCATTTTCCAAAATCTCAACAAGACAAGAAGTCCAGGCATAACATAGGCAGCACAACAAATTGAAAGCTCTAGAATCCAGTATAAGGGTGCATGTCATAAAGAATCTAACAACTACAAAACCTTACTTTTTTTGAAAGTGTCTGATCATGAGAGCTGTGAAACCAACTGAAGCACATGAATGAATATAGACAAATTTCACAATGCCAAAGTCCCAAATAAAGCTTTTAAGAAAATTATTTTGATTTTTGGCCCTCCCCAACAAATTCAAAACATTTTGAAACGCAACAAATACAGTTCTGAAATGTTAATAAGATCAAAACCCCAAAAATCTCTACTTGGAGGGGATCTAGTTGTAAATCAAAGATCTTTAATTTACATCAAGAATCAGATACCGAGAAAGAGTACCTGCAACTACTAGAATTGGGTCGGGGATGGTACGGGGGAAATTCAGAGATGGGTCTGATTGAAGTCCTAGTTTGGAACCCTAGAATGAGAAAAAGGGTGCGGACTAAGGTCCATGGAAGGTCAAGCCGAGGTGCCCAGTTGAACGGCGTCGTTTGTTTGGAATTGGGGGGAGGAACCCGATATTCAGTAAACGGGGCCCGTTTCGACTCCCGAAACAAAACCGAACAGGACCCGGGGATAGTTGTTGAAGAGAACCAGCAAAGTTTGGAACTTTGGAGGAGAAATCGTTGTCGGAAGAGGAACAGAATGCGGGTCAAGATGTACAGTTTGTTCGATTCCAAGGTGATCTTAGTGTTGTTGATGTCGATGATTCTCTGCGATTCGGTCGCCGATGGTTCTTCCGGTGACACCACTATGCACACTAACAACTGGGCTGTTTTGGTTTGCACCTCTCGTTTCTGGTAAGGATCTATGAAATCCCAATTGTTTTCAATCTTCCGGATTTTATGTTTACTCTTAGGATGAACTGAATCGTACACATGTTTTAGTTGTTTAAAGTTTTGATATTGAGAATTGAATTCGATGTGAGAGAGCTTGTAATGCATTATTAGCAACTTAGTAAGAGGCAAATGTATCGTCTTCTTGTTGTGGGTGTTTATCCATGCAGTTTCTTTGCTCCAAGGCATGACTTTTTTGGGTTGTTTGTCTGCAGTTAGCCGGTAGAATATGATGGGAGAATTGCATTGCTCAATTTAACTGAGAACCAAATCTGTTTTTGTTTTTTCATTTCATCTTGTGGAAGTTTATTCAGTATTATAATCAAAGGTGCAATTTTGTTATCATTTTGGGGTCTTAAAAGTTTTATGAGGGAGCCACTTGGATTGATTTGAAGCTGTTATTCTTCAGGTTTAACTATCGGCACATGGCCAACACATTATCCTTGTATAGGTAAGCAGTTAGCTTGTTCTTTCTTTTCCCCTTAATTCTCTTACAATCAATGAAGCTATTTGATTTTATTCCCTTCTAGTTTTGGTTCAGGTAATCTATTTAATTTCTTTCTCATTGTTTTCAGGACAGTTAAGCGGTTAGGAATCCCTGATGAGAGGATAATTCTCATGCTGGCAGATGACATGGCGTGCAATGCTAGAAATAGGTATCCTGCTCAAGTTTTCAACAATGAGAACCACAGGCTTAACCTATATGGAGATAATGTGGAGGTGAGTTTCTGTCCCAGTTGCTGATAAAAAATGGTTTTCCATCTTTACCTTTGGGTTTTGCTCTTCTAGCAGGCCCTTTATAGCTATTAAAGCACAAGCTGCTTCAAAGTGCTGAATTTGCCTTGGGCCTATGTGCACAAGCACAATCTTGATCTAATAAGTGTGTTTTTCCAGAGCAACCCTGATTTTTCTGAAATGGAATTACTCAGGTAGATTATCGAGGCTATGAAGTAAGTGTGGAAAACTTTTTGCGGGTATTGACTGGACGTCATGAGACTGCTGTTCCCAGATCAAAGCGTCTTTTGAGTGATGAGGGAAGTCACATTCTTCTATACATGACAGGGCATGGCGGAGATGAATTTTTGAAATTTCAAGACTCAGAAGAGCTCCAGAGTCATGATTTAGCTGATGCTGTGAAACAGATGAAAGAAAAGCATAGGTAAAACATTTTACTTGTATACCTCCTGCCTATCCAGAATCTTCACCATTTGTCTATAGTTGTGCTGGATTTTTGAAACTCTATGAAGTGGTTAGCCATAAGTAAAAGGGAAAATTATTTTCACCTTGTGCAATATTTGGCATTTGGATCAACATTGTTATTATATTTCTAGTTTTTTATCCACAGTGCTGACAGTTGATAATTTTAATTGCCATGTAACATTGTGCTCCTCTGTTTTGACTGATGCAACAAACTTAGATTCAAGGAGTTGTTGATAATGGTGGACACTTGTCAAGCATCCACTCTCTTCAATCAGGTTGGTAATCTGCTTCTAATGGGCTTTTACTTTATACGTCCTTAGATATAAATGCTTACATAAGTCAGAAGTTCCTGACTGAGGATATGTAAATGGGAAACACTATGGTCAAAGTATGTAAGTCAACTTGTGTAATCTTGAACTTCATTAGTACAGATTTGATATGGTCAAATTTTTCTACAGGATTACATCTCATAGTTCCTTGAAGAACATGGGGTTGGATAGGTGCTTTATGTATCGCTAGTCTCTCTGCTGCTTATTTGCTTTCGTAGTGATTAATCTCAGTTAAGCTGTTATTGTTTACTAGTGATGTGGGAATATGAGATCAAAGCATTGGGAACTCTGTACAGAGAGTTATTAAAACTCAACCCCTAAAATAAACAGGCAAAATTATACTTAAACAGGCTCTCTTAGGATCTATAGGACCTAGTGCTTATATATCTTCCTCTAGTTAGTTTACATTAACAAGAACACTTGTTTTTTTCTTTTTATGAAACTGCTTCTTCCTTTATTTGATTCAGACACAGCCAATTTACCAATATCTGCTTAGTCTCATATAATCTAGGATGACAAGAATTAATTGAAGGAATTCACATAGGTGCAGGCCCACCTTGACATTTTTCATACAAATTGATGGTAATATTTGTGTGGGTAACAAGTAAACTAGGAAAGTTACATTTCTCAGCATATTCCTATCTTATAATTGTTCTTGGCACTTAACTGGAAATCTTCTTTTCTTCTTCTTCTTCTTTAAATATTTTAATTTGTGCAGCTTCAATCTCCTGGTGTTTTGGCTATTGGAAGTAGCATGAAAGGAGAGAATTCATATTCACATCACTTGGACTCTGATGTAAGCATCAATGTGAAAGGATTTATCTTTTTGAGCGCCCATTAAATAGCTTGTTATGATTTTTAGACCTGTGCTACATATGAATTTGTTCTTATTTGCTTTTAACTGCTAATTCATACAGGTTGGTGTATCTGTTGTTGATCGTTTTACGTATTACACCCTTGCCTTCTTTGAGAGACTACATATTTATGATAATGCCTCATTAAGCAGGTATTATGATCAAACTAAATGGCTATTTGTTTTGTTGCAGCAGTATAGCCTCTACGTTCGATATCTAGTTTTCTCACCTTATTTTTATTGTTTGAATTTATTTTCTTAACTGCACCTGTCATGACCTCCTTTGTCTGGCAAATCTATTGGGTAAAGGTCTTCGGCTTACACAAACCCATTGACAGAGCTTGAGCAAAATGTTTGGGGGGGCCAAAAAATTTTTTTTGATAACCTGTAAATATAAATATATAATATACCTAACATAATTTCACTAAATAATTATTATCTACCAAAATTTATTATAAGTTAAAAAAAAAAAGTAAAAAAGTCATTGTAACAGATATCTAAATATAAAATAATATAAACTATACCATACATATACATTCTATGTAATGGAATCTTTAACTACTCTAATTAATAAGAAACTCAAAATCTACCTTATAACATTTCTCCTTTTCCCTTTCTTCCATTTCTGATTTTTTCCTGTCATCTTCTAGAATTTGGCATATGAATTATAAATTTTGGAGACATTTGGTTGTCATTTTGCTATCAAAATTTGAATTTACAATTGATTGGCTTATTGCCTTGAGCATCTATCCTAAATGTATTTGCTCTTTTTGGGAGTTTTTTCCTTCTTTTTTTTTTTTTTTTTTTTTTAACCATTCTTTAAAAAAAAAAAAAAAAAACCATTGAACTTTCAACTCATAAG